CAACACTAACAGCATACACAGCACCTTTCCATCTCATTTACCATCTCTGCAGAGCCCAGTAGGCTGGAAGAGAAATGCCATCTTGAAAGTGTGTCAGTAATTAAATCATTCACACTTCACATATAGGGAAAATAAGGTACAGCAGAGTTCTCCAGCCTCCTCAAACCTGAGTACATGCTTAGAGAAAGAACTAGAATTTACACTCTGGATACAATATGTGATAAAAACCACTGAACTTGTGAAACAAGCTGTTATAAGAGAGCCATATTTTCAAGAATAAATAGGAAAGGCCTGACATACTTAGCATCACACTCCTTCCATTGGCAGAGCAAGGGGAGGTTGTGGCAAGGGCATTGCCTCTAAAATAGCATGAGGAATTGCATCCTCATGGGCAATAGCAGTATGTGCATTCTGTAATACTTTCTGTCCTTTGCGCCCATGGAGATCAGAGGATAAGGAATGGCAAACCCTGCTGTGGATGAAAATCATATCCAGAACCTTACATATCCAAGACCGTACACTGTCCTTGTCCAGCGTGCCAGGGATCAGTACCATTTTTGTCCCACATTTGCATCATTTCCTAGACCAGCAGCAAATGGCTCTGCAGATCACTTGTCTTAGTAGCACTGGCTTCTACTGATGGTTATACAATATTAAACTTTCATTTTGGCTCTGCTGTCCAAGATCTAAACAAAACATCCAATTTTTATGTCATTTTTAATAAAGGGTCACTTTTTCTTGACACACAGTTCTAAAACACACTGCAGAAATAATCCAGTTTGAGATTGCTTTAATTGCCCTGGCTCAATGCTAGGGAATTATGGGAATTGTAGAGTATTGTGGCACTAGAGCTCTCTGACAGGGAAGGCTAAATGTCTCACAAAACTACAGTTCCCAGAATTCCTTAGAGCTGAGCCAGGGCAGTTAAAGCAGTCTCAAACTGAATTATTTCTGAAGAGTGTTTTGGATCACAGATAGCTGTATTCATTTTTCATACAATCATGTGATCTATAGATAAATGCAAAGACTAGAAAATTCAGTTCAACATTATATTTAAAATGAAGATATACTTAAGTGGGAATATCAGAAGACACATTTGCATAGGTTTAGCGTTCATTAACAGAGCAGTCCTCTACATGTCAACCCAGAAGTAAGTCTCATTCAGTTCAGTGGGGCTTACTCCCAGAAATGCATTGACAGGATTACAGTCTCAACGAATATGAATATGAATTATAGGATTACAGCCTAAATGAATATGAATGGGGTTATTGGCTCATTGCTCTTTGGCTCATCACACTCACCTTTTCATTTTTAATTTCCATTTATGTCAAATTTGCATTTACTGTATTGCCAAAAACCACTAGGAAGCTGTCTGTCTTGGAACATTTCTACATATCCACAACCAATGAACTCCTCCATTATTCAGAGACTATGTGCAGAGTGGGAATGAGCGAATGCTCTGGTTAAAGCATCACCTACTCTTCTTGTGTGTTAGCTGTGTTGGGTGCCTCACACAGGCACACAGCTTGATGGGTGGCTACCCTCAATGGTTGGCTAGATTGGTAAATAGCCTTTGCTACTTCACTGAGAAATCTTACTGTAGAAAGGATAGTTAGCCAGCCTGATGGGCAGCAACAGCCTGGTCTGGAGGCAAAGCCCTACTCTTCACTGCTGGATTTGCCATTGCTCCTTTCCATCACTAGCAGAAACAGCAGCAATAAAAAGCAAGCACATATATGAAAATAAGCTTAATTAACATTACATGTTTCAGAATTCAGCTTTGTTGGAGTAGCATTTATGGTCAAATTACCATATAATTAGTAGGCAAAGGAATCTTGTAGCACCTTTGAGACTAACTCAAGCTGGTAACATTAGCAAAAGCAAAATCACTAAGCAAGATACTTTACCTACTGATTTTCCAGACTAACACGGCTATGGAGTTTATCACACAGGCAAAAGAAACCAGATATTAGCGCTATGTTCCCATCAATATCCCCTAAATATCATGCAATAATACAATGCTTTTCACATGATGTCACACGACATTGCATGATTATCCCATGAAGAAAGCAGCAAAATGGCACCACTTTTTATTTTTGGAAAAATCTCAAAAATAAAAAGTGGTGCGATTTTCTTGCTTTATTCACAGGATAATCACACAACAATGACGACATTGTGTGAAAACATAGTGTTATTTGTGATATTCACAGGATACTGCAGGGTCATAACACTAATATCCCGTTTCTTTTGCCCATATGATAAACTATGTCGTTGAATTCTATTGCCATATAATCTCTCGGTCTGTCTCTCTTACAAACACATAGACACACACTCTAGCTAGAGATAGCCAATGGATATTAGGAGTATCTGAACTGGTAGGATGAGCAAAAACTTTTCTTTGAGTTAGTCTCAAAAATGCTACAAGATCCCTTTGCCTACTGATTTTCCAGACCACACACCCCTAACCAGAGACAGTCAATGGGAATTAGGAGTATCTGAACTGACCACAGGCATCTCTTTCAAGAAGAAAGTGACTGTGTGCCAAGTATTGAAGAGATGGACATACACACTATTAGCACACCCTGCATACCCCACACTGTATTTTGGGGTCCCCTTATTTCATATCTCATATCTGGAGTTAGCATGTTTTTGAGAGCCTTTCAAGAACTCTAGATCAGATTCCCAGGAGAAAAGGAGCATGTCCCAGGGCATGTACACATCCAGGTAATGGAATAATCAAATCGAGATCAGTGTATTACTTGCTCCTTCCTTCCTCCAAGTCATCTGCATTTCCTCTCAGAACTTGAAACAAAGGATCTCCTTACACCCAAAGCATTAAGCCAATCTCCCTGCCTACCCTCTATTGTGTTTCCAGCAAAACTTCCTTGTCCATCCATCCTGGGGATAGTCTGATCCAGTTGCTGCTTTTGTCACACTAAAATTAAAGCCATCAACCAGTCCAGAATCTCATTGTCTATTCTTGGGAAAGAGCATCCAGCCTTTTGTTACCTGACAAGATATATCTAAAATATAGCCGCAAGCGGTGGGCTAAGTATTGCTTCCAAAACCTAATCTCTGTCCATACAGCTGCCATACACCTCCACACTCTGTGTATGTTCTGTGTCACTCTCAGACCTCCTACTCTGAGTCCCTCCAGCTTTCTGTGGTCTACTCATCAGACAGGTAATTATCACCCCTTTGCAATCCTTCAAACTCCACTATCCTATTTCCATGTTTCTATTTCTGTTAGCTCTGTATGCTGTGTCTTTATGAATTGCTCTTTTGTGTTATTGCACCTGCCTATTTTTCTAAATAAAACCCTCTAAATTCACCCCAAACTTGGAGTTCTCTTCAGTTAGTATTGGTACAAACAGGTGCAAATGGTGTAAAGGTTACCCAAGCCTCTTCCAAGAGCTAATTTCTCCAACATTTGAAGTAATGCTGATGGTTGGTGGGGACCCCCCCCAGTCCCCCCACCACCTCTCTTTAGGTAACATCATGCACACGTGCGCACGCACACGCACACACACTACAAAAGAATGCTTCCAGTAGTTCATAGAATAGGAAACAGACACACCAAAGTTCTTTATAACAGTATCATGCTCTGGGTCTGAATGCAACAAAAAGAGACATCATCAGTGGGCTTGTTCTCATAGACATGTTGGAACTTCTGTGGAAACCAACAACCACCCAATTTGCTAACAGCCATAGCAATGGCAAGTACATTTCTATGTGCTTATCAGTGCACTTAAGCACTCCGTAAGTAGTTTACAATGTGTAAGCTAATTGCCCCCATCAAGCTGGGTACTCATTTTAGCAACCTCGGAAGGATGCAAGCCTGAGCCGAGCCTGAGCCCCTGGCTGCATTTAACCACTGCACCACCAGGAGTCTCAAACTATAATAGTAACTGATTATCAATACGCATTTGAGGCTTACTGAGAAATGGCCTGTTACACTGACAATCTGCCCCTGCCCACTAAGAATCAGCTGTCAGTCAGGCAGTCAGTCAGTCACTCTTGATGCCATCCATTTCTGCAACAGATCACCCAGAGACAAAATTTTAACATTCTTAACATTCAAAACAGATGGGAGGGGAGTACCTGAAGGATTACCCAATGTCCCTCCGCTGCAGCCAGGTCTAAGGCTTGTTCTGCCACTACTTCCTGGCCTTGTCCAAGTGAGACATTGTGGAAATTCCTGTTGTTAAATGTGTAGCCAAGTTTCTTCCCTGAAAGAAGAAAAGAAGCTTTTCAGAGCAATAAAATGCATAGCACTGTCTCCTTGTTTCAAACTCCATTCAAGATTTTTTTTTCCATAACAACACATGTCCTTTTAAGGATCAAAACTGAATAAAGAATGGAAAGCAGGGACCAGGCATAAATGGTCTGTTGACACCACAGAGGGCTGTGAGTGATGGGAGGGCTCTCTCAGGGACTTCTGTTGGGAGTGGTGATTTCTGCCTTGTTCATAATCTGTCTGGAATTACTGAATGAGTGCTGAGATTGCCAAGTTGGCCGATATGTGAAGAGCTTCCAAAGGATCTCTCCAAACTGGGGCAAAGGGCATTAAAATGGCCAATAAAATTCAACATAAGATAGTGTAAAGCACTGCATACTAGGGGATGGGGAATCCCAACTTCACATACACAGAGATGTGATCCATGCTGAAGTGTTGACTGATCAAGAAAGGGATTTAGGGTAAGTGGTACTTCAATGAAAATGCTGAACCAGTGTGCAGCTGCTCATCTGTTTGTTTTTAAAAATCCAATTCCAATTATGTTGAACATGGAACAGAACTGAAACTAAAACTGCCAGTACTGTATCACCCTTTCACAAATTCACATTGCAGCCATATATGGAATATTGTGTTCAGTTCTGCACTTTAAAAAGGAATGGGAAGAGACACAGAAAAAGGCAAAAGGATAAAGGAAGCAGAGCAGTTGCCCTGTGAGGCAAGATTACATACTTTGGGACTCTGTAGTTCAGAGAAAGAAAAGAGAGCCAGTGTGGCTTAGTGGTTTGAGCATTTGACTTCAACTGGAGACCAGGGTTCAAATCCCCACTCAGCCATGGAAATCCACTGGGTTACTTCTAGGATGCACAGCATGGCCCTGGGCAAATGCCTCCTTTCAGCCAGGGGGAGGAGGATATACCATAAGTCAAACTGAAATGTGATATTCTTTTCATGGGTTATTTTTCTGCATGTGCCCTTGGAGCTTTATTTGCAGCAGGTTGCAATTTCAGGGGCAGGACACTGACATGAAACCAGGGAGCAGAGTGGTGGTTAATCTTGTAACCTGACAAAGTACAATCCCAATTTAGATCAGATTCCTGTAAAAATACTTCCTCAAAGCAAGTCAAAAGAAAAGTGGCATTAACAAAATGTGGTGCCTGACCCACATTTCTGATTGTGAAACAGGCTAGTGGTGGTAGTCTACTACACACTGTAATCTGCTGTGGGGATGAGGAGGGTTTGCTGTTCTGTAATCTGTGGCTCCTTTCCCATTAAATTTAACCAGCAGGATATATTTAATACCTTTAAAAGCAAATACATTTATGCAGATTTGCAAGGGGATAACCCACTTATTAGAGCGAAGGGTGTATATATTCCTTTTGCCTTGTCCTACAAATAAAAAAGAGTTTTGGAGAAGTTGGAAAGTTATTTTAGAAGCAGTGCTTCAGAAATAAGGTAGTACAATCATGCTGGTTGCTTTCTGAGGGTTTTTGTCCCCGCTGGGTCTTTTCAGATCATAAGAAGAGCCTGTAGGATCAGATCAGAGATTGATCTAATCTAACATTTTGTTCACACAATAGTTCATCATTTGCCCAAGGGAAGCTTGCCAGCAAGGTGTCTCCATCTCACTGAGACAGTTCCTTCCATCTCACACTCCCAATATTCCCTCTGATACTACCAGATCCATCCTCCATGAATTTATTCAATACACCTTTAAAGCCATCCTAGTTGACAGTTCTGTCTATGTGTTGCAGCAGTAAATTCCACAGTTTAACTATGCACTGACTGAAGGAGAACTTCTGAATCTCCAGTTTCAGGAGATGATCCCACATGAGAGATGCTTCTTCCTATCTGTTTTCGCAAAATTATGAACACTGTTCATAATTTTATATACTTTTATCATGTCTCCTCTTACTTACCTTTTTTCTAAGCTTGCATGCCTTCAAGTCATTTCTGACTTATGGAGACCTTGAAGTGACCCTATCATGGGGTTTTCTTAGCAAGATTAGCTCAGAGGGGTTTTGCTTTTGCCTTTATCTGAAGCTGAGAGAATATAACTTACCCAAGCTCACCCAGTGGATTTCCATGACTGAGCAGGGATTCAAACCATTACACCACAATGGTTATTGAATAACGATTCCAATTAATTAGATTTTGGTGCTTTGGTGCTTTGGGGACAGAAATGTTTTTAGCTTTTTCTCTGTTCAAAACCCACCCATGTGCTATGAATATGTAATGTAGGCAGGGCTGAAAATCTGTAATTTGAAGAGGTGGATGTGGTGATATCACGGATATGCACTTTTAAAGGAATATTTGTAAAGTAAAAACCTAACTATTCTACTTTTCTCTGCTGATACTCTTCACATAGTATACATTCAGGCTTCAAAGAGGGAAGAAACCATTGTTAGGCAACATGCTTTAGTCTGGTCTTACCCAACATGGCACTTTCCAGATGTTTTGGATTACACATCCCACCATCTCCATCTACCAACCAGAGGATTCTGGAATGGCAGGGAATCATGAAACTGCAACTTCCATCAGCCCTAGCCATCATAGCCAGTAATGAGAAATGCTTGGAGCTGCAGTCCAATAATATCTGGAGTTCGAAAACACTCTCCTTTTGATGGCTGGAGACAATGGAATGTATAATTCAAAACATATGGAAGCTGCCATGTCGGGTAATGTGATAAGCAAGGTACATAACAAGCTGTCACTTATGTTGTGGCATTGATCTATATATCTCTTCTTGTGTGTTCTCATCTACCACTTTGGCAACATGGATTACCCTCACTTTAGTGTTCAGAATTATGTCTTTACATTTTAGGATCCTGTCCATTTCTTTCATAGCTGCCTTTCCAGTCCTAGTCTTCTTCTGATTTCTTGACTTCATTCTGATCAATATTTGGACTAAGATATAGGAACTCTTTAACTATTTCAATTGTCTCTGTTTTTAAAGAAGATTAATATATTGGATACAGGGCCATGAAGAAGCAAAGTACTATTCTACCCACCACCATACTAATGTTCTCTCTCTTACTCTCTCCTGTTCCTATTTTAAACTCCTTGTTGACTGAGTCCCTCAAGGCAAATCTATCTCTGTACATCTCCCATCTTCTCTTCGCAGACTCGCTTGCCTCAGTCATAAGGTGTAGACCAGGGGTAGGCAACCTTTCCCCTTTAAGGGCCGAGGGACTTCAGCTCCAGAAGCCTCAGCCATGTTGGCCAATAGTCCCAAGTTGGCCAATAGCTCCTGGGATTCTGGGAGCTGAAGTCCCTCGGCCCTTAAAGGGGACAGGTTGCCTACCCCTGGTGTAGACTATACATCCCTCCAGAACAGGCTTAAGCCTGTTCTCAGTTACAAAGCAGCAGCCCAGAAGCAAGGATTCATATGACCAACAGAGTCTTTCCTTTCCTCTTCTTCCTCCCTCCATCCAGTAGCCCAGAGTACACACAGTAACAGCTATTCCCAGACATTTGTTGAAAGATGTGAGTCAGCTTGCAATGTTTTTGGTCTACATTAAATCAAATACTAATTGTAGTGACTTCAGCCCTCATTTAGGCTTAAAGTTAATTAATTATGCAAATGATTTAATAATTAATTTGTTTGTTCCAAGCTCTGCTCTAGTGTGAAATGTGAATGGAACAATTCTTCTGTACTACTGCTCACAAATTCTTGGTTCTCGGAATTTTCTCCCCCATTATGTAGGCTTCTTCTAAATGTCATAGAATGTGACTCTGTTGTGAGCTACAAAGCACATGTACAAAGAAAAAACAAGAAATAAAAAATAGATGGGCTGTAGCAGAATATATTCTGCTTGAGAATCACAACCAGACCATTTTTAAAAAAAAAAAAAGTAAAAGATGCTAGCAGGCTAATAACACCTGTAGCAACATTGTACAGGCAAGGGCTGGTCTTTGTGAAAACATCCAAATTACCATGGATAATTACCCAGCCCAGGCAATACATGGCAGTCTACTAAACAGCTGCAGTTGTGATATCTCATGTTTTAGTATGAGCAGGAATTTGGATGTGACCTTGTTTCTGTCTGATGGTTCAATACAAAGTACGTAAATGTGATTTGGGTGCACTCAGGGCAAAGCAGTTCAAACACAGGGCAAGGTGAACTCCCATGCAAGATCCACAAGGGCAGGGGTTTAAAAAAATTAATTCTAATTTTCTATTATCCTCATCTCAAGCACCCTACTCTAAGCAAGCCAGAAGAACTACAGAATCCCTTTAGCTATGAAAGTAGCATTCTGGGCAACTATAAATAACCTCTTTCTGAAAAAATTTTCCATCAACAGCAGCAATGTGGTTTTTCCTGTTTAAAAGTTCGCTCCATACATTCATGATCTGCCCAGATGGAAGAGCAGTACACAAATAATACTGCTAATATAGGCTGTGGCAGCCCAATCAGATGTACATTAGGATCCTTAGATTGAAATGTCAAAAAGCTAAATGTCGCTTTTGCAGCTGAATAACAATTCCTCCCATCAAAATCAAACTCAGAAACATGGATCTACACTCTACCTGGAGAGAGAAAAAACAAAACTATATTGGAAGGAGCCACTGGGAATTTTCACACATGAAAACAGACAACCGCAAGGAGGTGTGATGCAAACTTATTTGTATGCTTAGCTTCTGATCTGCATATGCAAACACTTAGGGCATAATTCTGGTACCACTGTTTGACAAAGACATTGTGACTCCCCCCCCCAAGTTGTGAGATGAATAAACAAAAGTGGTTTTTAAAAAAGATACAACAAAGGATTACTGTTATATAACATGTTATATTACAATACTTATGTTATATAACTGTATGTATGTATTACCCTATCAATTGGCACGAGTTATACAGAGGGTCTGTAATAAAAATCACTACTTGCAAATCTTCACTCTGAGCCTTTATATCCAAAGTGACACCACTTGCTTGATAGGAAGTGCTGCATAGAAGTGCTTCACAGTAAAAAAAAAAACAAAAAAACCTTCAAATAATCCTGTGATGTATCCTTCATGGGGAATGGGGCCAGAATTTGAAGCATGGATATTCACCAATGTGAAGACTGCTGTTCAGCTTGAGTTCAAAGGGGACACAACTCGGGCAGGCTGTCTCCCTCAATTGCACCACTCTTCAATTCACCTTATGCTGGAGTGAAAAATAATTAAGAAAATTCTGAGTCCTTTCGCACAAAAGGTGATTTGAAGAACCATTTTTCAAAAGGGCATATACGCTTATCCAAGAGGCTTCTTAATCATGAGTTTGATCTAGTTTTACATTTCTCTTTGCATCGTCTCTTACACTAGGGCTGCAAGTGCCCCAAAAGGTTCCCATACTGAGAACCTTCAAACTCCTCCAGAAACAGTAGGATAACCTCATACAAAGGTATTGTCTGTGTATGTCCATTCAAATGATTATTGATTATGGAGCCCCCATGAATTTCCTAGGATTTTGTTTGGCAAGGAATACTCTGAGGTGACTTCCCATTGCTTTCTGCTGAAATACTATCTGCAACACCTGATATTCCTTGGTGGTCATCCATCCAAGTACTAAGCAGGGCTAGTACTGCTTAGCTTCCAAGATCAGACAAATTCTGGTGCCTTCAGGATATTTAGGCCTCCACAACTGTAGTGAGCCCAACCAAATCTCTGATAATCAGGATTAGAATGAACTGCCCTTGGAAGTATTCACTCAACCCCAGGAGCCCCTTGACACTGCTTCTGTCAAAGGTTTGGGTCTAGGCTAAGACATGCTTAGAGTGTACCTTCTGAAATCAGTAAGACTTAATATTACTCAGGATCTATCAATGAGACATAATGTTATTCAGGGAGAATACT